GTAATAGAAATTTTATCAAGGAACTAACTGTCTACTAAGGAGTTAGTTTCATTTAGTTTACTTTATTCTTAATATTTTTATCCTAGTTTTGTATAATTTAATAAACTGTTAATATAACTTAGTACCAACACCTCCAATTTTATTTTCTTAGAATGTTATATAAGTTAATTTACTAACATAGAAATTCATTCAAAATGTAATGTCATCACAAAACTATTTATCATTCATTTACATTATAGTCTTGAAAGCAGATTCTCATTATTGTATAAATAAAGGCAGGTGATCTCTCGAATATTCTTTTTCTTCAGCCATTATTAATTTCTTCATTCTAATAAAACGATGTTCAATAGTTTAAATAACTTTTTAACTTTGCACTTTTCTTGTTATACTTCCATAATTTATTGTAATTGGCTATTTTTTTGTAATGTCTCATATATTTTTTAAAATTCTTTGGATGATTCTACAGACTCGTTAAAAATAGTAAGATATAGATCCTACGTTTAACTTTTAGTATGAATTCATGTACTTCAGAATCCAAAGCGTTTTTATTATCTTCTTTTATTTAATTAACTAATAATATTAATACAATATACCGATTTACTGTTATCTATTTAAATTTTTATTTATTTAATATTTACATAACAAATCTTCCTTCATTATGTTTCCCAACTTAGTCTTTAAATTTGAATAAAACAAAAGATATATTAATCTTATTTTTCTTATTGCTCTTAATATGTCTATAATATAGTTAGTCTAATTATTAGAACTTAATAATTTGATTATCTATTATAGTTTTTTTTCGTCCTATAAAAATAAATCTTTACTATTGAACTTTTTAGTTGTGAAGATATCATCATTATTATTCTAAAGCTATTAATCTAATGAAATACTTTAAGAGTTTAATTGTAATGATCTTTTAATTTTTAATGATCTATACAGAATTATTTGATTGCTTTTTTCTTTTTAAATTATATTGATTAATTAAATCCTTTGATTATTCTTTTTTATAAATTCTATCTATTGTTTGCTTCTTCTAGTGTTATATATTATATAGGGAATTCTTAAATGCAATCAGTACAAGCAAATGGACTTAAGCCTTGATCTACTTAGTTAAGGTTTACCATTATGATTTTCTTACTATGCTTGCTACACTATTAATACATGTAAAAAGCTTTCTATAATATTAATATTTTGAGATAATAAATTTTAATCAAATTCTCCCAATCATTATACAGGTATTATATAATTGAAATTACCTTTATAATTATTAGATAGAATTTTAATTCCTCCTCCTAATTCTTTATTTCTGGCATAAATTCCTTCAAGTCAATTTCTTTTCAATCTGATTAATCTCCTACTTTATATTATTTAATACATTTGATAAGACACTCTTCATTAATCCTTTAAATTTTAATACAGATTTTATAGTTATTTCATATTATTAAGTCTATTCTAGTTTTCCTCTTGTTAACTCTCAAAGCTTAAATCTTCATATCTTAAATCATGTCAATAGTCTCTATAAGTAATGCAAAGTTTTAATTATCTATTTTTTAGTATAGACGCTTTGCACATAAATACTTATCTTCTGTTTTTGTTGATGATTTTAAATCTACAATCATGATTTCTAATTTTTGAATTTAGCAATATCGTTTCTCTATTTCTGATAAGGATGACATTTGATTATAATTATTAATTTTATTAATAAAGAAATTCAATTCATAAATCTTTTTGAATACATAAAATATACTTAATAATTCAATATTTTTTTAATTACTATTAAATATTATTCATCAATGCAAATTTATTTAACGAAATTATTTGAGTTACTTATAAACATATTTATTCTAATCATGAATAAATCAAGTAACAAAATTTTAATTTTTTTTTGAATAGGGTGCACTGCCTAATACTCATTAACACTCATTAAATTTGTTTGTAACAAAAGAAAATTGATTTACATTTTTAGGTAGCTGGATACAATAGTTTGTTTAGAATTGAAAACTTTTTCTCTTGGATTTGATCTCGCTTCAATTTAGGCGTGCAGATGTAAGTAGTCAAACTAATATTTTAGGAGGAATGACATAATATTTATTTACAAAAAACTGATATAGTATCTAAAAGCATTTAGAGCTAAATCTATCGTTTTTTCAAATCTTATAAAACTTTTGAAGAAATAAAGAAAAGCAAGAAAATAAATTTAGACTTCTATTATTTAGAACATAATTGCTGTTATTTTACTGAAATTACAAAACATTACATGAAAAAAAAACACGACAGAAATGGGGATATTTATGCAATGAATATATGTATTTTTGTGAAATAACCAAAATTCTGTTTAAAGAATTGATAATTATCTTCCTTTCTTATTATAATGAAATATTATAAGGAAAGGTATTCTTTTTTATCATTAATTTATATATATTAGTAATTAAGTTAAAAATTTATAGACCTTCTTAATCATTAATATTAAATAAATTAGATGCATATTCAGCAAAATATGATGAATATCTATTGCAGTAGGAATTGGAATTTATATTGAGTAATAAAGTTAAGCAATCGAAATTTAAATACCTTATTTTATTATTCTCTTCGCTCTTAATTTACAATATTTATCCTTAATTTTTAAAGAATTGATATCTTCATTTATTG